AGAGATAAAAACAGATTTATGATTGCCAGAATGATTCATATTAATTTTATAAACTTTGTAGGTACGGATCAAATGGTAGGTCTATTCTTCAGTCTGCCATCTCTTCCAAAAACAGAAACTTTAGTGATAGTCTGCTGACTTGTGGCAGGAAATGCAGCCATTTAGCACATGGAAGAAGAAGGTGTTAGATGCCTTTGCAAATTAATTTCACAAAAATATTGATTTTTGTGAAATTAATATGAATCATTCTGGCAATCATAAATCTGTTTTTATCTCTGAACACTGAGACTTGATTGGGAACATGCCTGGGCCTCCTGCTGTGTCAAGTCTTGAGCCTCTCTGAGATTCACGTTCATCTCTTCATCTGTTACTGAATCTATTTCAACGACGGGGGCTCACTCGTGACATGTCCCCTCATCGTCTCTGCGAGGGAGACACATGGTTAGATGGATGCAGGCATACTGTGGACCACTGTGAGCTGCCACTTAACAGGAGGTGTGTGGGCGAATCTTGTCCATCTCCCCATTTAGAAACAACACTATTTGCGAGTTCAGTTCAGTGGCAGAAATGACTGGTTTCCTTGCATCAAGCCAATGTGACCATTCCTCTGCAAACAATAAAAGCAGCAGCTATCTCAGCCAGCAGACTTGCAGCTTTTCCTGCTCTTTAGCACAGATTCCGCTGTTATTGTGTGACTCTTCTGACATGCAGGTCGCACAAAGTCTTTTGGAGTCATCAGCTTTCCTGAGAGTTTGTTCTGTGTGTTCTAATATATTCTACAGCTGTAAACTGACTGTTACCTTCTTAAATTGTAAGCCTTAAAGCACCATTATCCCGTTCAAAGTATTTATTTTGCATCTTGGTGCACAGCGTTGAAATGAAACATGCAAATTATACATCAATACACAAGGCTTGATCAGGAATAGCATGTTGTTACTTCAGTATTCTGCACCATTTAGACAAAAGTTGAAAAATAAAAGGGCAGGAAAAACAAGTTAATCAAATTAATTAAAGTGAAATACATGAAAAATGCAGCGTTCTTTGGTGCTCTGGCATAGATCACGGTAAAACCATCATTTGAAGTTTGAACAGGTTATAGAAAATTTGACTTTATATGTTTAAACTGGCATTCATTTTTTTTGTTCAGGTTGATTATTTTCCCAGAAAATGTTTAACTGGCTGTTGATGCCTCACTAATATTTGTCTAAAATTTTTAAATTTTTAGAGACAAACTCCTTTTAGCACCTTCTTTTTGGCATATGAGCTAAATTATACATCAAAGTCAATTCATCATAAAAAAAAACATTAAAACCAGAGAAAAATTACACCTGCACCTACACCTGGACCTGCCATTCTGTTCGTTTCTCCTTCCTGTCCTCTCAAACCCAGCCAGTCGAAGCAGAAGACCACTTGACCTGAGCCTGGTTCTGCTGGAGGTTTCTTCCTGTTAAAATGGAGTTTTTGCTTTCCATTGTTGCCTTTGTGCTTGCTAAGGGCAGGAGACGGTGACAAAGAAGATTCAACTCAATCTACTGGCTTCCTTCCTTAGAGAATTTTTACCAGTTGGCTTTGCATGTATGTGAACATTGCTGTTCAGTGCCCTGAGAAAACTTCTGTTGTGATTTGGTGCCTTTTAAATAAACTGAATCGAAACAGACTGTATTAACATCTACCTTCCTTCTCTGCATCATGCCAGTCAGCTCTCTACCTTTACCCGTCATTGTCCCCACGTTTATTTTATACGACTGTCTATTATTGTTTGTACTTCTTCTGTTCTTTGTTTAAATCAGATTTCTCTTGTAAATGAGTCATTGTGGCTCAATGAGACTAACCTGTGTAAATAAAGGTTGAATTAAATGTGTATAGAACTAGACAAAAACAACAAATCAGTGTTCTGTTTACATTTCAATTTTGTCTCGTCGTTTTTAGCTACAAGGGGGGTGGTAGCTGAGAGGTTAGAGAAGGTAGGCCTGTGATCGGAAGATCACTGGTTCAACATCAAATTGTAGGTGGTAAAACACCCACACCTGCCTCCACCCTCATTTGCCCCACCCTGGGCCCTTGAGCAAGGCCCATAACCCCAACCATCTGCTCCCCCTGGCGCCCTAGAGAGCAGCTCTCTGCTCCACACAGAGGGCTGTGGTAGCTCGGTGGTCTGTGGTTGCATCAGGATTGGAAAGGCATCCGGCGTAAAAACAATTGCCATTTCTTCGTGCGACCTAGTTCGCTGTGACGACCCCTTAAGAAAAGAGCAGTCATATAAAAAAAAAAAGTTTTTAGCTGCTGTTTAAAGCTTACCGTTTTTGTCTACCTCTCATTAATTTGGCAGCCAGGGAGTGAAAGTCAGGTGTGCCGTTTCTATGGTGACCCTAATGAGCCACTGGCAGCAACTTTACCATTTCTTTAGAGCTTCTTTTTCAGTTCATACATCAAAACAATTATATTTTTCTTCTTGCACCGTAGTTATGTTGCAACTTTTAGGGAGTATCTGCACCTAATACGTATAACCTAAAAATGGGAACTGAATTTGAATAAAAGCATATTTTATTTTTGAACTATTTTTGTTACATCTTTACATATTTTGCCGTTTGTGAATTTTGAAGTGTAAAACAAAAGACCAGGTGAGAAGCCGTTCCACATTCAGACACAAAACATGAACAGGACCGAAAACAGCCATAAAAAACACCTTATTTTCACTTTTACATCATTTTGTCTTCTGGGCTAATTAAAAAATTCATTTGAATTTTAAGTTTGGCAAAATAAAGCGAGTTTCAACCCGTTTGCTCTTTGACATATCCTTAACTAAACATCTATTTTGCAATTGTAGCACTAAGTTGATGAATTAAGAATGAAAGAAAGAGACTATAAATGAGGGATAAAAAAACATTTATTTAGAGGATAGATTTATTTTACTTGGATACAATATGCAGACTCAGACATTATCTCCTGGAAAGAAAAGGCACAATATTTCATACATTCACTACCACGTCCCTTATTGTTTTACCTGATCAGAGCCTTGGAAAAGCAAGTCGAGAAAGATCTAGACTTCATCTTTTAGGATAAGCAATTAGTTGCTTTGTCAATATCTCATCTTCTTACTATCTTAATAGTTTATTAACTTTTTTACTAGTCATAGGGCTGTTTACCTGAAGAAATTATTTGTATTACTTTAGAAAAAACACACAGTAGACCATCTTTTTACACACAACTCTACGAAACCAACAATGTCAAGATGGTACCATAATTAAAGAAGCCATAAAATCACCATCTTTTAGTTTTATGTTATATTTACGAGTTAGGAGCAAAAAAAAAAAAAATAATCTGAGTAATGTTTCACCTGAGAATATTTTGTAAGAAAAATATCTGTCTTTAAATTTCCTATGTTGATTGCTGAACATGTAAACACACACCCAAAAACATTTGTACTCTTTGGACAAAATACCTGCTGGGAAAATTGAGTGCATTCTTTCATTACTGTTAAAAAAAAAAAAAAAACTATTTGAGCCAACAGTAGCTCCAATCTATATAGAAACAAGATTTCTAAAACTAACCCAAAGGTCTGAAGTACAATTTAAGACGATGTACAACTAGAGCACTACAGCTCAGTAGAGATCAGATGAGTTACGTGTATTGTACATATAGAACATTAGCAATAACAAATGGAAGCTAATATCACGCAGCTCTAACACCTACAGAGAGAATATTCTGTAAGTAATGAAAGTCAAAAGTTAATCATATGGCAACTCTGATATCTGATGGTAATCTGCAGCCCTTTGTAGTGATCGACAACACTGGCTGTTACAGCTCAAACAGTTTTTGCATGTAGGAGTAATTGCACTTGCTCAGGTGTTATGACACACATTCAGTTCCACTGAAGGTAGCAAAGATTAATCGCTAAAAAAGTTCCCATGAAGCAGTGTCTGCTAAGATTTACTCCTAAGAAGCAGCAGCTCATGGCTAATGCAAATCCTTTGGCATTAGGAAAACTGCCAGTAAGAAATGAGGGAGGTAGGTCGCAATTGCTGGCAGCAGAGCTGTGAGAGGTGGAAGGTATAAAAAAAAAAGTTCTGGGGATTAAGGCAAGCAAGTGTGCGGTGGTGCTGGTGTTAACTGGGCACTAATAAAACCATTATGAATCTGTAAACATGACTGGAATAAAGCTGAAAACAAGGCCTTTTGTCCAACACAAGTGAGTGGGTTACAGTTTGACTTGTGACAGAGGCTAAAGGGGCGTAGCACCATCTGTGGCATTTTTTTCCATTGCAGTTTGTCCTCCAGGGACATCTGGTAAGGAGGTTAATGCAATGTTGAATGTTATGTGTGAATGCCTAGAACAGTGAGGATGACTAGGGTGGGGGACTGCTGAGAGCTGTTAACATCTTCTAGACGTACAAAGAACTGTACTTGCAAAGATCTGCCCAGCTTGAGCTTGTAACAGATCAGTCAGCGCAAAGGTATCCACACCTGCGTGTGTCTGCATACCTTAGAACAAACTCAACATCCTCATGTGTGTAATGTGTGCGTCACGCATGTGTGTGGCTTTTTATTAAGTCTGAACCGAAGCAATACCTGCACAGACATGATTGTCAGTATAATAAGATGCAGTACTTTGGTTAAGGTGGGGTGATGGGGGGGATTATAATGGGCCTAGGTGCCAAGGGTGTTAGTAATCACTTAATAGGGGCTACGGCAGGAAGGAACATGAGTATAACAGTTTCGTGTCAGGGAATGCAAACCACTGAGCTACAGTGTTTACCGCTAAGACCATGCAGGAGACAAAGGACATTGCCTTGGGAGGAATGTGTTAAGAGGCAATCAAATAAAAAGGTTTAAATAAAATACAAATGGAAATGTTTGGTCTAACATGAATTTAGGTTGAACATTTTGCATCCATAGAGCAAATACTTCCCCCACAAGTCTCAAAGTCTACGTTTCTCTTACATGATGATGATAGCTGGGCTTTCTCTGCTCGGGAGATTGAAATTAAACCAGAGTCTTTCAAACTAGGATCGTGTTGGTTTCTAGAAATCAATTCCTTACTGGACAGAATGTCTATGATTGGGGTCAAGTCAAAGATCTGATCTATTGATCGCAGGTATCTGGGCTCCTTCCTCCACAGCCTGAACCAGTTTGGGTAAAAAGGTGATATTTAAGGAGTGTTAGCTGACTCCATTGATTTGTGGCTGTTTAAAATCATGTCTCTTTTCATTTTTCTTCCGCAGCACTGGTTCCTCGTACGTTACCCTGTTTGCGAAGCTGTGGAGAAATAAAAATAAAGAACAAAAGTTAGAGTTGGGTAAATGGATGAAACCAACTTGCATTCACTGAGTTTCTTGATGATCATTGGCTAGTATGGAGGAAGATGGGGTATACTTTTTGCTCGTTACATGTAACTTGGGGTTTTTATTTTTTCGTCGCAATCTAATAAGACTACTGCAAATTGCTTTTTGCCACCTGAAACATGGGCTTCCTTAAAAATCAGCTCCAAAAGCCTTTTATCAATTCTCCTGTTTATCTTCAAGGTAGATAAAAGCATCCCTTTCAAACTCTCGCAACCTGAGGCTGATGGCTTTGGAAAGTCAATTAGTGCTAGAATCTGATAGCCCAACAGCTCAAATGAAACAGCTCAAACTAACATTGGCTCTAAACAGAGGAATAGACAGATCTGATGAAATAGAGGGAGGATTTACCCTCCCACTTTGCCATCTCCCCCCTGTCCCCCCCCCCCCCCCCTCAATCACAGGCCAGTCTCATTCTTAACAGCAGGATTCCATTTGTATGTTAATGAGGAAAAAAGGAGCCATCTCGAAACACACAACCACACCCAGTTCTTCACCCGTTCCTTCTTGTTCTACATTAACAGTACTAGAACACTATAGACTACAGACATGATACTTGTGCAATGGGTCCTTGGAGTAGTTTCTCATTCCCCACGTACAGTCCTGTTCAGTACAGTGCAGTCACTGTAGTCATCATTCCATTGCATACAATACAGTCAACGTGTGACCCTTGAGCTCCGAGGTTCTGGCTGTGACTGGCCTCCTCACCACAGTCCTCTTTGATGGCACCCGCCTGTTTACTTACTTCAGGGGAAAATGGAAAACATATGTTGGATTGGGCGAGATGTTCTGAGGGGGGAAGGCAAAGCACAAAATACAGAATGTGGGTAGTAAGCCAGGAATGTTTGAGACTGGCCCACTTTGGCCAGTCTACTCCAGATTCCTTCTTTGTTCTCCATGTATGGCCAAAAACTCCCAAACTGATATGTGGAGTAACTCCAAGAGCTGAGCAGTGGTAAGGTTTTACAGAGAGCGCAAGTTAAAAACACTGTACCATGTTATTTTAAAGCAAACCATTTAATTTCTCTGCCCTGCATTCTTCTGTGGAGGTGCTCTGGGCTGCAGGTACTAAAGCAGCTTTTCCATTAAATGTTGTGAAAAAAACAATTCTTTTGTAAAATATCATGCACAGTATAAGTGAGAAAAGTTTAGGAACAACATACAACACATGCACGTCATACAAACACTGATGGGTATTTTTTGGGCTTCATGAAAATGCTTGAACTCCTCCCATCTTATTCCTGATATGTTTACAGTGAGCTATGGAAATGGGGATTAAAACCCTTTCAACCACTTTGAGAACAAAAAGAAAACACCAACCCCAGAAGGAGCAGAGGAAGTGTCACATGGGTGCACTGCAGGATTTGGTTAAACGTTTGAATGCAAAGTACAAAATAAAGATTCCCTTAACATAATTTCCCCTTCAACTTAACAGATAGTAATCAGCAGTATTTATCAAAAGAGAAATATAAGTTTGAGTTGCATGTTGACTTCACTAAAATGATTTTACAATAATTCAATAAACAAACAAAAAAAACATTTAAACAGGACTCATGAATGCAATCCATGTTAGCTCATTTTACAGATTAGTTCAGTTTCTTCTGCAAACAGACAGCCAAGGCAGATGTGCTAATTTTCCTCACTATGACTGTTTATAGACAGTTTTGAGTGATGTCAATATGCTTTAAGTCACTCCAGTACAGCAGAAGAGTAATGAGTGCAGTACACAAAACCAAGCTTGCTACAGAAAACGGCTTCATGTCACTGAGGTTGTGGTGAAGATGGAAACTTTTACAAGAGTATACGACAGTTGGCCAGTCACACCAGAGTTGAAGCCCTTTCAATGACTGCCCCATCTTAAACGCCTTCCATAGAAAACCTAAACCTGACCTTCATCCTTGGCACCTGGCACAGAACTACTCCTATGTACCAGATGAAATCAAAGACAGCAAATCACAGAAACTGGAAATAAGAAAACTGTAGTTTAAGCTGGATGGTAAAAAATTTTTAATTTTAACCTTTGTGCTATTCTCAAACAATGGATCCTCTAAACGTTAGTTAATTTTATCACTGGTCAATATGGAATCACACATTTTAGATTTAATTATGGGTAATTATGTCACAAACAAACCTCATCTAGCTCTCTCTGAGTTTCCGCTTCCATCCGCCGGATGTCATCCATAGTTAGATCAACCCATCTATCAATCCAGCAGAAGAGCTGACGATGGAAGTTGGTGAAGATCCTCTTCTCTTGCTAGAGGAGAAAGAAATTAGATATTTTTTGTTAAAAAGTGAAAGATTTTTTAAAATGAAAATAATACTGTAAAAATTGCATTAAAATATTTGCAATAATGCTGAACACCCTGATCTGTTATGCTGACATTAATTACATTGGATAAAACAACACTTACATAAAAAATAAAACAGAAATTGAAATTATAGAAGAAGAAAAAAACACTAGCCTGTCTCCAAGACACAGGAGGAACAGTCCTGTTTCTACAAACTGAGAACTCTCAGCATGACAAAAAATAATCCTGCAGTTTGATTAACTGTGTAAACAAAGCACTAACCTCATGAATGAAGTTCTCCACTTTGGTTTGCAGCCCCCACCACTTAAACTTGACTGTGACTAATTTGTAGGCACACATCTTTGGGCAATCAGGTTTACTTGCCAGTTCTTGCTATTAGGAGGAAGAATAAAACAAGTAAGCTTCCAGTCACCAAAAAAGCACAGTATCAATAAATAATCCAGCTCACACCAACTTTGCAATAAGATAATTGTTAAAACACTGCAGATGACGAAGAGTACCAAGCATTCAAAGCTCATATTTATTAATACATAATGCTTTGGAGCTTGCTGAAATAATTATCAATATGATGATGTGCTGTGCACAGATAAAAGTGTCCTAATCTACAATACACATTCGAAATTCACCCTCTCCTGCTTGCACTGCGCCTTACTCTGAAGAAGAGAAGACAAGGCGGAGGGGGTTGGGGCACGGCAAAGTGGATAAACTCCAGATGAAGGGACCATTTCTCTGCTTCCGCCCCGACAGCGACACCGCTCCCGACAGACATGCCTTTTGTGGCCACAGATAAAAAGGTGCTCACGAAGCGATAAGAGCGTCACAGTGCAAAGCTGGTTACATTATTAACACCTAGGACCTGCTCACCCCCCAGAACACAAATACTCTCCCTCCGAGAACACCTGTTTAATTAATCACTTCATTCTGGCTCGGCATTCCAAGAGAAAATGCCACAGACCCGCCTCAATCACCCTCGTCCCACGGCTGTTTGATGCCACGATCATAAAGAAGAGCGCGAGTGAGGAAATGAGAAACATTTCTAAATTTGCAGTGGGTTTAGAAAAGTTGTCATTGCTAAAGGAGAACTTCACATAAAACGGATTCTACATCAAAACACTTACGGTGACATTTCTTCTCTCCCTCTCTGTGCCCCACTCAAAGGAGCAGAAGTTTTCAGAAATACAAAGGGTAGCGATATGCAAGCATGTGTGCATGCAGAGATAGACAAGAGTTTTATTGCTGTGAGAAGCTAGCAGAAATTGTGCCTCTGTTGTCACATAACTACTTTTATTCTGCCTTTTTAATAAAACAGCTTTCCATGTCCACAGCAGACAGGGAAGTGATCTAATTAAAAACCACAAAATAAAAGTTGTGTCTCTTTATTCACACTTTTTAAAGCAGTTAGTCTGCCTTTGTTCTGAGAACATTCTTGCAGCAGAGGAAAGTTTCCCATGGTGAACTTTAGGGGCTCCACTGCAGAACAGAAACTCTCAGCTCCTTCAGTCTTCACGATTAGCTTGCTTTAAAGTGAAAATCAACAAAATATAGAATATATTTAACCTTTTTATTTGTACATTTTTGAATCAACGTCCATGACATTTTTTTCTTTTTTGTCATGAATTGTGCCCAACAATTTGGTTGGTAAAGCTTAAAAACACAGAACTTTGATCTAGTAACCTAAAATAGTTTCCTTCATTCAAATTAATTTGTCCGTCAGTTCAGCCATCATCTCTTTTTCAGAGTCGGGTTGCAGGGGAAGCAGCTTAAGCAGGGAGGCCCAGACATCCTTTCCAGATCTTCTGGGAGGACTCCAAGGTGTTCCCAGGCCAGCTGAGAGATGTATTCTCTACAGCATGTCCTTCCCCAGGGTCTCCTCCCAGTTGGGTGTGCCCATAAAACCTCCCCAGGGAGGCACCCAGGAAGCATCCTGGGAAACTGAAAGTTAAATTGGGTTTCTTTTCAAGCAATAGATCCTGTTTAACTCTGAATGCTATGAAACGCCTTGTAACTGAGACGTACCTTCCATTGACTACAGTGACATCATTTATGTGAACACTCGTACATGCACTCTGCAGATGTTGATGCTGTCTATCACAGTGCGCTAAGATTCATAATTGGCTGTAACTATCGTACCCATCACTGCACCATGTATTCATTGGTTAACTGGTCATCATTAACTTCACGCAGACTCTCTCATTGGTATAATTTCCCCTTTAAATCCTGTCTTGATCTGTTGCCTTCATACATCTCCTCCTACATGTCTCTGTGTGAGTGCAGCTACAGCGTGCACTCTCAGGACATTATTACCTGCAGTGTTCCCTCAGTGAGGACTGAACTAGGCAAAAGAGCCTTCTCCTACTCCGCTCCTGTTTTCTGGAATATCTTATAAAAAGATTTGACGCTCTCGACCTTGACCTCTAAGTGGTTTCAATCATCTGCTAAGTTCATGGCAAGAACCAATGCAGACATGTTCCATTTTTAGTTTTTTACACTGTCTTACAATCTAGCTTTTTAAAAAAAAATTATTACCATTTTCTTTCATTTGTTCTTCTCAATTTGTATGCTTTCTTTTATGATTGTCTACTGTTGTCTTTGTTGTCCACTGCTGTCATCCATCTTTGTTAAAATCATCTCTCTCTCGTAAATGAGTCCCCGAGGCTCAGTGGGACTAACCTGTACAAATAAAGGTTGAATGAAACCTTACCAGATGCCTGAACCACCTCAACTGGCTCCTCTCGATGTGGAGGAGCAGCGGTTCTACTCCGAGTCTCTCCCAGATAACTGAACTTCTCACCCTATCTGTAAGGGAGGGTTCAGCTACCCTGCAGAGAAAACTTATTTTGACTACCTGAATCTGCAGTCTTGTTCTTTTGGTCACTACCCAAAGTCTGTGACCAGAGGTGAGAGTAGGAACACAGACCGAGTGGTAAACAGAGAGCTTTGTCTCGCAGCTTAGCTCCCTCTTTATCACAAAGAACCGCAAGCGCAGAGCCTGCAATACTGCGGAAGCTGCACTGACCCACTTGTTGATATCCTGCTCCGTTCTTCCCTCACTCTTGAACAAAATCCAGATAGTTGAACTCCACTTGATGCAGAACCTCACTCCCTAACAGAAGACAGTAAACCACTCTTTCGACTGAGGACCATGGCCTCAGATTTGGAGGTGCTGATTCTCATCCCAGATGTTTCACACTCGGCTGCAAACCGCTCCAGTGAGAGCTGAAGATCACAACACGATGATGTCAACAGGACCACATCATCCGCAAATAGAGAAAGAATCCTGAGGCCAACAAACTGGACTCGCTCCACCTCGTGGCTGCACCGAGAAATTCTGTCCATAAAAATAATGAACAGAATTGGTGACAATGTCCTGGAGGAGTCCAACTCAAACCCTGAAGGGGTCCGACTTACTGCCAGCAATGTGAAACAAACTCTAGTATCACTTGTACAGGGACTGAATGGCTCATAGCAACAGATCATAATCTCAATATTCACAAATGTGTTTATGTCCACATATTACTGTGTGACCAAAATAAACAAACAAATAAAACCATTTAACAAAAAGATAAATAGAGCCTAAGTCCTAATGGGCCAATGGTCTCTGAGATTTTAATGCAACAACCATAAAAATACAGACAGTGGCTATGCACCATTTACACATCAGTGCACATCAGCAGCACACTGAGTTCACACAGGATTTAAAAAGTGCATCAGTCGAACGTCTTGATCAGATTGAGTAACAAGAGCTGCACAACCTCAACTATACTTCCTATACATATATATATATATATATATATATATATATATATATATATATATATACTTCCTATATAGTGCTTCCTGGAGGATCACACCATCTTAGAGCTTTTCCAACCTGGCTTTAAACCTCTCCACAGCACTGAAATAGCCCTGCTGAAGGTCTTCAACGGCATCTTCAGATTCACAGATACCGGTGATTCTGTGCCGCTTGTCCTGTTGGACCTCACAGCCGCCTTTGACATCATTGACCATGAGATCCTCATTGCTAGGTTGGAGCAGTGGGTGGGCATCACAGGATCAGCCCTCAATTGGTTCAGATCTTACCTCACTGACAGATCCTTTTGTCTCCATCAAGGATTTTAGTTCCGCAGAGGCAGAGCTTAAATGGGGGGTTCCGCAGGGGTCCAAACTGGGTCCCCTCCTATTCTCTTTATACCTGCTGCCGCTTGGTGCTATTTTCCGGAAACACAACATGCCCTTCCACTTCTATGCCGATGACTGTCAAATTTACTTCCCCCTAAGACACAATGGTACATGCTCTATTCAACCGCTGCTCAACTGCCTGGCTGACATCAGGGACTGGATGGCTTTAAACTTCTTAAGTTTCAATGAAAAGAAGACTGAAGTCATGTTGTTTCCTCCCAATGACACAATCACAAACCACTGCATCGACCTTTCCGCTCTAACCCTGTCAGAAAAACAAAGAGTCACTAATCTGGGTGTGATAATGGACCCTTCCCTGAAACTTAACAATCATGTAAACATGATTGTTAAATCATGTTTCTTCCAACTGAGGCGGCTGTCTAAACTGAAGCCCATATTGTCCAAAAATAACCTGGAGACAGTAATACATGCATTCATTACATCTAGGCTTGATTACTGCAATTCGCTCCTGTTCGGTATCAGTCAGACCTCCATTGCCCGACTACAACTGGTCCAGAAAGCAGCAGCCCTATTTTTAACCAGTACAGGCAAAAGAGAGCACATTACACCAGTTTTGGCCTCACTGCACTGGTTAACTAACGGTTCACTTTCGAATCCAGTTCAAAATACTCCTGCATGTCTACAAATCACTGAACAGTGTCACCCCCCCACACCCCCCCATCTCTCTGATTTGCTACAACCGTATGTCCCACCACGCTCCCTGAGGTCAGCGGACCAGTTGCTCCTCACAGTTCCAGGAACTCGTCTTAAGCGCAGAGGTGACAGGGCCTTCTCTGTAGCAGGACCAAGACTCTGGAACGAGTTACCTCTTTTTGTCAGACAGGCCCCCTCCCTCTCGGTTTTCAAGTCCCGTTTAAAAACTCACTACTATTCAGAAGCTTTCAACACAAGATGATCTGTGTTTTGATCCTGTATGCTCCACACTGGTTTGTCGTCATTATCTGCATCGGTTTTTGTCTATATTCTGATTTACCTCATTTTGTATTTTGCTTTGTGTGTTACCTGTTGTTTTGTCTGTACAGCACTTTGGTTGGCCTTGTTGCTGTTTTAAGTGCTTTATAAATAAAGTGGTATGGTATGGTACACGAGTGAAGCAACTTGTTTCAATACCCAGATCAAACTGCTATTTTAACTTTATAATGTTCCTAAATATGCTCAGTATAAGGAAGCAATTATTGCTCAACAGGAGACTGAGATTGTTAAATTTACAGCTCAAGCTTATTTTCAGGTCCTCAACTTTTATAAATATTATTGCTTTCAGTTTAAAGTTTTGTCTGTACAAAACTTTAGAGTGGCTCTTAAAAATCACTACATTAAAAAAACGATTAAGATAAAAAATACAAGCTGTCTGAACAACTGGGTTTTACATGGTTTGGCTTGTGTTGCTTCCATGCACAAGTTTCCTAAAGTTGTGTATTATTTCTTTAAATTTATCTTATGTCAGCTACACAGTGGGAAGTTCAATTTGAAATTATACATTTCTCTACGTGTACAGGAAGTACAACAAATAATTGCAACAATTACCTAGAAAAAATAGAGAACTGCTCTAAAGCAACTAAATGAAGAAAATGTATAATGTTTGACAGGCAGGAGTGAGATGGTATGAGCGGTGTTAATTACATGAGAAATCAGTATAAATATTGAGCCGCCCTCATTTCAGATTGGCGTAGCAAAAGGAAAATTAACTGCACAGTCAATGAAATGACATTAACTTCAGTTTAAGTATCTCATCATCATATAAAACTATATTTCAGTGTGACTGGATGAGAAGGTCGAGACAGCCCACTGTTTGATCGTCAGATTTTACCCACTCCAGTGGTTTTAAAAATGTCTCACTGATGCCAATAAATCAGATAAACTGATGAATGTGTGAACCTCGGTGCACCAAGTCAAAGCAATCTAGTAAAAAAAGTCAAATGTAATGTCTGTTTAGTTTCTCTTTACAAAAAAAAAAAAAGGACGTGCAATTTCTAAATGAATAAAATGAATTTTATTTCCAAAGTGCACAATATTACTACCTTCCAGTTGGGTCCAAGAGGTCCTCTCCCAGTTTTAACGGACTTGAACTTGGTTGGATCTTCATCTGGCTTGTAGTCCTGATGAAAGAAAATACAGTTTAAGCAATGAGTACAATGATCAACAAAACTTGTGAAATAATTAAAAAACAAACTATAGTTTATTAAATAAACCCTACACAATTTTAAAAAGTGTACGATGAGCTCAATATCTACAAAAATAAATCGCTTAATATGAAACTTTTCATTCACTAAAGAAGATTTGAACTAAAGAATTTGTAAAACTCGAGGTGCATTGTTTTACTGCACTGTGACGCACAAGCAGCGTTGACAGAAAAGACTAACAAATGCTACGAGCATTTTAGTTTTATAAGGCTGCACTAAAAGATTGATCCCACAGCATCTACCAAGTTTGTGTTGATTGTATTTCACACATTAAATTCTGGTGATACTCAACAGTGACAACACTCTTAAGCTTACATAAGCAGTTTAAAAACTCATGTTCTGCCAAAAAAAAAAAAAAATAACTACAGTGATGAAACACCTATGGCCTATTACACAGGCTGGTCATGATTTCACAGCACAAAGATCAAATACAGGTGAAAGAAGGATAAAAGTCCACATGTACACATTTAAACAAGCAAGAGAAATAATTGCACAAAGAAATGGAACGGTTTTTAAATTAATAACAGCTCAAGGGCCGGGTAATTTTTAATAAATCATGATACCCCTGCAGCTAAAAGCTCCTTTTTCAGGGCTACTGGCCACCAGGAGGGTGCCAAACATGTGGAAAGAAACGGGAACGCACACAAACTAACACTATTACACACACAGTCACAAATTTGGCTGCTTTAATGCTGAGAGCTCCATTCCTAAAACAATACACTGTGCAGCACTAATGAGGTCTGTGAATCGATGTGCCTTGGTACACGAAGACGAGCTACTCTTCAAGTAAAAAAAAACGAGTGTGTGTTATGTTGTGTATTTGTCTAGCTCCAGCAGCACAGTGAGCTTTAATTACGCTAACAAACTCATCTGTGCTAGCAGTACGCTCCAGGCCCTGCGGTCATGCCTGAGGCTGAGGGCTGATAGGGCCCTGAGACACAACACACTCCTCCAGCGAGGCAAACACGTCCGCCTTGTTAACTACCTACAGCAAACAAACTAGTACACACACAGACATCAATGTTTCTCTATCAACTAGCCACCCATTTAATTGCACGCAGAGAGCAACACTGAAATGGGGCAATGAGAAGTCAAATATCAGCAATAATGTGCAACTTCTTCACACAGGATTTCAGAGACGACAAAATGTCATATTCATTTTTTGTATTTTGATTTATACACAAGCTGTGAAGAGGCAACACAAAATGTGCAAGTTGCCAAAACTTTTTTTAACGGCACAATACAAAGGAGGAAATCTTGATGAAAATATCATTAAGCTGAGAGAGAGAAACAAACAAAAACAAACAAACAAACAAAAGGGAAGCAACTATTCTGGGGGATTTTTGCACGTTATCCCCGGGTCCTCCAGTTTCCTCCCACAGATCAAAAACATGCATGTTAGGCTGATTGGTAAATCTAAATTGTCCCTAGGTGTGAGTGAGAGTGAATGGTTGTCTCGATGTGTCCCTGTGATGGACTTGTGAGCTGTCCAGTGCCTCCCACGTCCCACACAGCGACTGCTGGAGATAGACGGCTATTTCATGTTAAATATACTAGTCATGGGACTCATCTCTTCCCAAAGTATAAAAGGTTTAGGAAAATAATTCATATGATCAAGATATTAGTTCATATTTATTTCATGTTTATTTAATTTTCGTTAGACTGAGATATACCTTTGCAATAATGTCGAGCAAACAAATAGTTTTTAGGTGGTTATTGTTAAATTTCGAAGAAATGCACAGCGAGTCCTCCCTCTGCTCCTTCCAGCAGCCGCGAATTGGCTTTTGAAAAGCAGCTGATTTGACCATCAACGTGCATTTATTAAGGAAAAGTTAAGCTGAGACACACCTTTGCTATAATTTCAATCAAACAAATAAATGTTTTTAAGTGTTAATCTTGTTAAATTCCTGTTAAAGTCCTCCCGTGCACGCTCCCGTGGCTGCCATTTGGCAGCCCATCGATTTTTGGCACACGTTTCCAGGTTGTCAGCGGTGACGCATAATAGATGCGACTTATATGGTGTAGCTACATATTTATGGATTTTTTTCCACTTTAGACATATTTAGATTGATGCGACTTATAGGGCTGTGTGACGTTTGTGATGGAAAATACAGTAATGAAAAAAGTATAATTATTGCTTCTAAATGCAGACTTGGCTGAGATTGTTGCCACTGTGACCTCACTTCCATTTCCTTACATGGCATCACCTAAGCCTTCAAGACAAGTGTGAGACCGCACAGCAGACACATGATTCTACAGATTTCTTGACCTAATGTTGCTCAATCACACACTTTTTGCCCCACTCCCCTCAGGAAGGAGGTTAAGGAGCATTAAGTGTAGAACCACTAGACTGAGGAACAGCTTCTACCCTGAGGCTGTTAGACTCATGAATCTCTAACTAGAATAATCACTGTGAAAAACCATATCATGTTGCTGCTGATCTGTTTCATGTTGCTGCTGATCTGTTTCAATGTTGATGTGTTCATGCGTGCACATCTGCTCACAGACTCATGTTCATGTTTGTGCTGATGTTCAATGTTTTATGTTATGAGTGCTTAGTGTATATTTAGTTGATGTTTTTCTTAGTTCATATCTTAGATGTTATTACTGTTTTTCTTATACATTTTATTGTTGGATGTAACTGGGACCCTGTGTACATAATTTCGCTCCACCACATGTACCACATGAGGTGCGAATGACAATAAAGAAACTCTGACTCTGACTCTGACTCAATCTGCACATAAGTTAAGTAACATGACCTCCTGAGAAGTAATTCTCTATAACAGGAAAAAAGGAAAACAAAAAATCTGAAAAAATTCTGAAATATTACATTTAGTTGTGATTTTTCTACCAAATCCAAACATCACTTAAACATATTCACACATAAAGCTGGTAATGACAGAGCTCCAACTTCATGGTCTTATATTTTTCCAAAAGAGCCCTTAGCTCTCAGACTGCAGGTCTACTTGTGGTTTTCATGGTTTCTAAAAGTAGTTTAGGAGGCCTAGGACCTAGCGCTCTTGTGGAACTAGGTCCTAGTTTGGGTTCAAAAGACAAACACTAAAATCATGCTTAAAACATTTCTTAAAAAAAAAAAAAAAGACGCAACTGGCTTTAGTTAGCCTAAGGTGTACTTTTGTCATGTCATTTTAGGAGATGCTGTCCTTACACTCTGTGGATGGACAGTATATGTTTTTACACAGGCTGGTGTTGCTGGAGTGGTCTTCTTGTTTAAATATTTAAAAATATTAAAAATAACCACACTATTGCCTGCCATCCTGAGAAGATGGAAAAAATAAAAATACCTCAAACATGTGGTGCAATCCACGAATAGCTTTAACAATCTGACATCACAGTTAAATAGTAGACATACTATAGTACATACTATACTAGACATACTAGGGCTGTGGCTGAGTGGTTAGAGCAGTCGTCCTCCAGTGGGAGAGTTGGGGGGTTCGATTCCACCAGCAGTCACATGCTGAAGTGTCCCTGGGCAAGACACTGAACTCATTGCCTCTGATGTGTGTCCCATCAGTGTATGAATGTGATAAAGCTCTGATTAATCTTTGTAGAGTGCTGTATCAATGGGTAAATGAGGACACAGATTGTGATGTGAAGAGCTTTGAGTATCTTGATAAGATAGAAAGGCGCTATAAGTACAGTCCATTTACCATTTAGTTTTATACTAAAACATTATTTGATTTTATTGAATTCTAACTGGATTTAATAGTGTTTCTGAAAACAAATTAAACTGCACGTCACTGGATTTGAATGAAACCTGATGAGTTTTTTATGTACCACCCTGAAATGGTGTGTTGTGAACAAAGAACATAAAACACTCAATTTGTAAATTTTTTTCTTTACAAACTACTGATCAATCCATTATTTTGAACTGTTAAGTACTAATTTTAATCATATATAAAGTTTGTTATTAATATTTAAGCCTCCATTTGTGCAAGTTGTTCAAATTGTAAATGAAGAGATACATTTAATTTTATTAGAAACAATAATAATCAGCAGCAATTTTCCACAATATAAATAGTTGTGTTAAACAATAAAAGCGTGTAATGAGCAGATTTGTCCACAAAGAGGCACCAAACCATAACGTCAGGTCTTCAGAACAACAGAAGTATCTACTTACAGCATTGGACACTTGACTTCCGTCTGCAATATCAATGGGAACAACTGCTACGTTCTGCCACGTGGAAAGGTCTAGTTTGTGCACCTATTAAAAACAAAGATTATTTGTCATCTCATAAATTATGAGAAAATCTATGATTACAGACATGGTGTTGAGTTTTAGGTGCTTCAAGATGAATGCTTTAAATTAGTGCTGTATAAATTGAATTCAAGAGGAGGCGCTCACGTTTTCTTGTGTTCCCAGGTCTGGTTTGTGCCATGTCTCAATTTTAATGAAGAAACTGTCTTTCATATATTCATTCTGCAAAAAAAGGACATCAGGAAAGTCCAATGTATATGAAAAAAATACACCTTTAACTTCTAATTATGTGAATGAAACTTAAGACAACTTACCGTCACAACTGGAAAAAGAGTAATCAGAAAAAAAGAGAAGAGGAAAAAAAATGTAAACACATTTATAAACGTTTAAAAAAAAAAAAGCAATAGAATTAACAGAACAAGACATGTATCCATTACAAAAGCAACATAAAACATTTAATCAGGAAAGAATGAGCTTTCGGGCAAAGCAAAATGAAGAAATGCTCACTGGTTTTGCAGTAGGGGTAGGCGTTCCAAGCTTTTTCATGGAAAACCAAAGCGCCTTCAGGGGCCAGGAGCCTGACAAACCCCGGGACTTTACTGTAGGGCAGGAAAGATAAGAAAGAAAGATAATACTTTTGTATTCAGTGATATTCTAAAAAATAAAAATAGACTGCAGGAAAGGAAAACAGCCGATCATGCATCACAAATTAAACAACACTGCCACCCTCTGGTAGCATTTGATTATTACATGAAGAACAGCACGAAGGTCTGCTTACCTTTTTAGATGATAAATTTTGTGTGTATACTGTCCTTTCTCTCCATTATTTTCATAAGGCTCATTCTTGAGAACCTCAATGCCCTCACCTCCACCCGTCTCATTTTTACTTGCTTCAGCTACAGAGAAGAGCTGCCCGACTTGATACTGCAACACACAATTTACCACAAACAAAAAGATGCATCAAAACTTCAGCAACATTTCAGGCTAACAAAAAGTATATTTCAGCCATAAAACATCAGTAGCAATGGTTTCAAGCTCTTTGTTTTTATAGCTTTGTTTTACTGCTTTTCAGTCCAAAAAATGTTAAAATATGAAAGAAAAAGTACAATTAACACAAATAATAATAATAATAATAATAATCAGGTTAATGTCAAAGGTTGATTTGGGTGATACTCACTGCAGTTATTTGTAGTTGCAGAAAATTGTCAAAGAGTTATGAGTACAACTTTTGCAAATCTTCAAGTAAAATGTCCCAGAAGACTGTATTTGGCTCCCATTATAAAAACCAGTAAAGTTTTCTGAACAAGAAAACGGGTGATTGTCACTCCTAAATTATTTCTACTTTCAACTTTTTTATAAAAAATAAAGGATATTTTTAATTCTCTTTGTTTCCCCAGCATTCAGAAAAGATTGGCATATTTTTAATAGTTGTACTCATTAGAATTCCAATACATAAATACAATGACAGCAGTGTAAAGCAATTAGTTACACAAAGATTTTCTCTTGTGTATTTTAACAACCTTGATACCAACACTTCTTTTTTTACATACAAATATATGAAATAAGTACAAAAACAATTTGGTATTAATTGTTGTAACAGTAATGTAATGAGAGAAAAAAGTATCACTTACCTCCTCAACACTACAGGGTAAAACTACACGGCTGCAAAAAAGAATAAAGTGTGTTAACTTAAAACTTTTGGTTCCACAATACAACAATTCACAGTAATAATAATAATTATAATGTCCACAACAATGCACAATTATCTGATAAAGAAAAAAAAATGTAACAATGACAGAATGATTTGGATTTGTTACGAAACCCTTTTAGAAAACTTTATTGTATTACATTCATCGTATTGTTTTCCTGTTATTTTTCTTTTTGGACATTTATACTTTGCAAGTTCAGAAAACATAATTTAAATGCCATTTTCTTTTTTTTTTTCAAAGGTCAAACATGATGCAACATTGTGGATGGCAGATACAACCAGCAGCTCTTTGTGCACAGATTTGCAAGTGAACTTCTAACTTTCCGTTTTAGACTTACAATATATTGATTATATCAAGGTTTACTTGCTTTCAAACTGATTCAGACATATTTCCATCAAAACAGACAAAATGTTCTGCAACGGTAAAGAACAAATTGTTAAACTCAGGCCAAATAGGGTTTTATCTTATTCAAGGTTCTTTATTGTCATTTGCATCACGTGGTACATGAGGTGGAACGATATTGTGTATACAAGGTCCCAGTTACGTACAAACATTTATAACCTTAGCTCTACAAAATGCTGAAGACTGACTTATGACTAAGTAACAATAAAAACAAAGGCCACTGTCAAAAACATCCTGACATTTCATTAAAATATACAAATTCATGTGCTGACCAATATTCCAGAGTGGTTCTGATAGTAAAAAAAGGAGTATATAAAATTATACTGTAAAGGGTCCAGCATACTCGATCTGAAGCCCAACAGTCGACTTGCTGTCACGGCTGCAGGACGTTTGTTTTCTCACACACGTCTCATTGTCCACAAGACTCGGTCCAGAGCTCCCGTCCTGCTGCACTATACATCACTGCATAGATTTCTCTGCTGCCCCCAGAGTCTCAGCTTCATCCCTGCATCTACCTTTTGGGCAAAAATGTTCATAATGAAAGCGGCACACTTTTCAGCAAACGGACTCCTCCATAAATATGTGGACGATCTCCATCCAGGAGCTTTTGATCGTTTGACTTATTTAGTGTGTTTGAAGAGTCTGAATGTCTGAGTGCATGTCGGCAGTGACGAACACGCCCACAAACCTCTGATCATTCACATAATACTTGGCCTGTGAGAAAAAGTCTGGCCCGGGCCTCGTGTTGGGAAGGGGCAGGCACAGCTACTCTGAGAACAAAATGACGTGATTTTCGTCATGCAACCATGTGAACGTAGTACTCCCTGCCACCTTGTGCATGTCGTTTTTTCAAATATGTGTATTCTGCTTCTTTTCTTTTTTTTTATTTTTATTATTTATATGTGTATTTTTTCTGTACAATTAGAAAATGCTACTGGATGCCTCAAATTCCCCCCTGGGGTTAATAAAGTACTGAATCTATCTATTGAGAGCCGATTTCGCCGCTTCGCATGGAGTTATGCAGAGCATGTAAGTCAAGGGATTTCTAGAAAAAAGTTAAACACATAAGTACAGTGCACGTAGCATATTGGTGCATACAGTTTACCCAATTAATCATGACATTAGTTAATAAAACAGTTGATCACTAAATGGTTGAATGCTTACACATCAATTTGGATGGACAGAATACTCACCAATTGTTTACACTACAGGCAGATCAAGTTTAAATCAACCAATATTCGACACTTCAAAAAAACAAAACAGCAATTGACCATGTCTGTACGTACTTCAGCAGGGAGGTAGGCCTGTCACGATAACAAATTTTGCTGGGCTATGAATTGTCTCAGAAATTATTGCGATAAACAACAATATTGATTGAAACCATGAAAGGGACTGCAGATGCCAATTAGCTTTTGCTATAATCTGGTACAGCGCATCAACTGGTGACATTTATGTTTGAGTTGTGCATTGTCCCTTTTTAAATAAAGTTCATTCATAAAAAAAATAAAAAATTTGGAGCTTCGACAAGACAGAGGTTTTTTTTCCATTCAACCTTTATTTATACAGGCTTGCCTCATTGAGCCAAGGGGACTCATTTACAAGAGGGACCTGCTCCAGACACAACATATAAAGTACAGACAACAACAGGAGACAATGACTAAACAATAAGCAGCTACTACAACCAGCCCACTGTAGCTTCAAGTAAGAATGTGAAGGCGATATCACAAGACATAATCAACATGTTTCAGATGACATGTTGTGGTCAATGTGAATGTTTATTAAATCTGAAGTCAAATTTTTCATTAGCTCCATTTAAAATTTCAGAATGACTGAGGAAAAACTTTCAGTCTCAAACATGGCAGGCAGCTGAATAAAAAAACTAAACTAAACCAAACCTTTTGTAAGCCACATTCAATTTCAAGGTCTATTTTTAGAGGAGGGGAAAAAACTATTACTGGTCTGTTTAACACACTGCTGACTCAGTACGATGACACACTCGTCACTAAAACTAAACAGAAAAGTCAGAGCCAAGTAAATCAAAGACTGGGTGTAACCGTGAGATAAAGAAAGGCTAAATTTGATGTGAGGGGGGGAAGAGGAGGAAAATATGTCAACGAGCATTTTAAGGAGATGGGAAATGGTCAGTGTGTTTCATGGACTAGAGGTAGATAGTATGACCGTTAAAAATAAAACACCAACTAAATTATTAAGATGGCCAAATGTAAAAGACAATCTGTACCTAATCCACGCCACTAAATTTATATTCAGCTTTTTTTGTTTACTTTGAAATTGTTCCGAGGATGTAATGTGCAGTGCCTAAAACTACATATTTAAAGTGATGAGTCAGAAGTTTCCCCTCCCTAATCACTGACCACAGCATTGCAAACAAACAAAAAAAAAGAAGTATGAAGAGGAAGTTCTCTCTATGCATCAATCTAAAGCGAGGCTTGATTCTCACCTAAAACTACTCCAGTTTAATTTTAACAAGGAAAACAAGCATAGATAAATTTGTGTTTTCTCCTGAACTGCCACTATCACAATATTCTGAATTAAATCCAAGGCTGCACATCTTCTCAAAAGCATGGCTTTGTGATGAGTGAGGCTGGTTTTTGACACTCAATTCTCCAAGAAGCATTAGGATTCTTACATGTGAAACTTAAACGTAGTACACTGTAAATGTGAAGCAATGACTTTTGAAAGAAGACGCAGTAGTAACTGCAGACATGAAATTAGCTTCATGAAGCTAACGATGCAGCTTTTACCAATTTTGACTTCTTGTGACTTTTTCAGTTTGCCACACAGTAATGTTGATGAAAATAAGGTCCCATAGAATAGGGATGCCTGTTAATAAAATGGTGGTAACCTAATCTTGTATTAATTACTTAGTACCTCTGATGCCCTTATCTTTCATGGGCAAATTATCACAATTTTCCTCCATTGCTTTATCCGACCACAACTCCCAACATACAGTGCCTTTAAAATGTAGTTGGATCATGTTCTGTCCGTTTATTGCCATTATAAAATCAGTCATGGTGATTATAGAATGACTTAAAAAACAAATAAATCCTCTTTAATGACAAAGTGAAAATGTATTTCAATAAAGTAACGCCAACTACACAAAAATAAGTAATGTAAAAAAGGGACTGCGTACATTTTCACCTACTTTAAAGTGGCCATCCTAACTCAGCTGAGGTCCAGCCACTTGGTGCAAGTAGTCTCACAATTAGTGAAATGTAAATCACCCCAGGGTGTCTGTGTAAGAACACTTGTGTATGGAAAGTCTGTCCACTGCTTTATCAGTATTCCCGGCTACCATTACACCAGAAAGGTAAAAGAACTCTTCAAGTAGCTCAAGAGAAGAGATTAATGAAAAGTGCAAGTCCAGGAATGGATACAAAATAATTTTCAAAGCCTCAAAGATCCCAAGGAGTTTTGTTAAATCTGTCATCAAAAAGAATATGGGACATGTGTAAATCTACCAAGAGCAGGCCATCCTCACAAATAAGTGACTGTGCAAGAAGTAGAGTAATGAGAGAGACCACCAAGACACCTATGTATGAGTTACAAGCTTCAGCAGGTGAGAAGGGACAGTGTACATACAACTATTGCCAGGTTTCTTTACCAGTCTAAGCTTTATAGGAAAGTGGCAAAGAGAAAGACATTGTTGAAGAAAACTTAATAAATCTCAACTAGATCTTACCAAATGACATGTAGAAGAAAGTTCTGGCATCTGATGAGACCAAATCAGAGATTTCTGGTCATGCCCTGTTTGGCGGAAAACAAATACTGATCACCATCAACAACTCAACATCCCTAGTGTAAAGAATGGTAGTGGAAGCATCATACTATGGGAGTGCTTCTAAGCGGAACCTGGAAGGCTTGTAAAGACAGAAGGTAAGATGAATGCTGAAAATATGACATCCATCCATCCAGGTGAACAATCTGATGCAGTCTTCCAAAGAACAGCTTGAAGAAGGTTTGACTCCCAGCAAGACAATGACTCAAAGCACACTGTTCTAAACAGGAATGGTTTAAAGACAACCAGCTGAATGTTCTGGAGTGGACGAGTCAAAGCCCAGAGCAATAATGAATTTGTGGCTCGTCTTGACGAGGGCTGTTCATGGCCGATCTCTGTGCAACCTGACAGAGATTGAGCAGTTTTGTAAAGAAGAATAGAGTACTGTACAGTAAAGCACTATTGTCCCAATTTCTGATTGAGACTTATCCAGTAAGGAAATGTTCACACTGCAGGAAAATGCGACCCAAATCAGATTTTTTTTGCCCATATGCAACCCATATCAAAAAAAATGTTTCATGACAGTCTAAACATGTCAAAATTATTATTTTTTTAAACCTGACAAAGGTCTTTTTCTTATGTGGTATTAAATCGGATAAATATCTGAAGTTTTTCAAAGCGACTTCAGTCTGAAAGGTCATATTGCATTTCACCTGACTTATGTCAGTGAGGTAGGGGTTAGTGGATGGATCCAAGTATTAAGAACAATAATACCAACTTCATGGAATTTAAATCTTAGATCTCTGCACGTCTTCCGCTACAGAACAGAAGTCCTGCTGCTTAACTTGCTTCGTCTTTGTTCTTTTTATTTGCCAAGTCCTGAATGACTGAGAATTGACAACAACTTATGATACCAACGTTGGTGCGGATACGAATGTGACGGGACAAATACTTGCTTTTGTTTCACTTTCAGTCTGTCGCGCTCATTCCAGAAATACAATACTGTGCCGGCATAGGTGGAAAGAGGTCAGATCAAATGTAAACACTGGAGAAAACGATCTCGTCAGATAATAAACAACGTCTGAACCGTTACACACATGCTAACATGTGTAGCATCCATATTTACTTCTGTGAACACAACGTGCTGTGTGTGATGCCACATCTTCTACCCATGCAGGTTGCTTAAGGACCTTAGACTGCTCACAGTGGACTTTGAGGGAAGTCACATCAAAAGTATGACGTGAACAACCACACGCACACAAATCAGATCAGAATAAAAAAATAAGAAGTGAGCATTAGGACCGGCAGTGTGACGTTAAACTCGGTGCTGTGGTTGGAATCAAAGGTGATAATACTAAATACTGATGTGAACAAGGTAAATACTTTTGATTCTGATTTTATTTCACTGGTATTACTTTGTAAAAACTTGATTTTACTAGGACTTTGAATTATTGTTTTGTCCAAAAAGCCAACTTATATTGACCATGAATATGAAAAAAAAAAAAAAAAAAGTACAAAATATCCAAAGGGATAAATACTTTGTATAGCCACGGTAACTTTCCTCAGTACGTTTTGATCAACCTCTGCTCTTCTTTAATCCCACATTTACCATCACACAGATGGGTTTGGATACTAGATGATGCTGCAGAAAAGTTTGTTCTGTTACTTTGTTAAATGAGGGAAAAGAAAAACATTATGAGATATGATTACGGCTCAGTAAGTAGGAACTGACGAGTAGTTTGAAACATTTGCAGAGTATTCTCATCAGTGATGTAAAAATATCTGTAGCAACCAGTTTTTTGTTACAACTGATAGAAGTTAGCTCTTTAATTTTTTTATGCAACTTCTTCATTTTTCTTTATTTTATAATTTCTTCTTGGCTAGATTTTTTTTAATCTTTTCTTAAGAGCTCAAATAAAAACAAGGTGAAGATGTATACATGTTTTAACACGGTTTCTAATAATTTTGAGATAATTATGGCAAGTTTAAAAGCTGAAGGAAGGTTTGTTTTTTTTATTCAATCTTTATTTATACAGGTTAATCCCACTGATCCTCGGGGACTCATTTACAAGAGAGACCTTTTGGAGGTGCTGTTCTAAGAAAACCTTATCTCACTGATTAAAATCCTGGTTTGCAAAATGTCACCAATAAAATTGATCCCTTTAAAATGTGTACATGGCTTAGAATCGATTGCTTTCATCAGTAGTCTGCCTGCTTACTAAGTAAAGTGGCTCATTTTGGTCATTATTACAAACAATCAAATGCTTATTTCTCTCTGACACTTAGGATGCAACACTCGTATAACGGAGCAAAAAGTTTAACCCGACTGATAAAACCCACTAGTGCTAAGCTAGTTTACTTAGAGAACCTGGTTTGACATGAACATTTTTCTTTAGCGTAATTCGTCTCGTCCTGAGTTATACTGGTTGTGTCCGAGAAGACTGAACCAGAGAATCGATGATATCAGACAGCTACAGCTGAAGTCACTTCCCCATCCAGGTGACGCTTTCGGCTAGCTAACTTAGCGTTAGCACATTACTCGGAGTACACCGCTTCGAAGCCGGCGAACACAAAAGTCAGAGCTCATAGCACAAGTAAATAACTCAATCCAAGTGTGAAGAAGCCAACGACACTAAATAAAGTAGAGAAGAACAACAACAGATGTCATACAATGCCATGCTCCTGTCAAAGCCGGTGGGCCAGAACAGCTCTTAAGCAATCCCACCGTCTTCTTCCTCCCGACCCTCGTGTCTGACATCGACGAAAAGTTTCATTTTTGTTAGGACACTGTAAAAACCCACCCCGAACGAGCTGGCTTACTAGTATTCTAAAACAGTTTTTTATAAAGACACAAAGTAGGCGTTCAAACAGAAAGAATGAACTTACTATTCTTTGATGAGAACCATCGTTACTTCACTCTTTCCGTACTGCTGCTGGCACTGCCCAGCGACGCGACCGCTGATTGATACTGACGTCATCATGTGGGTGGGGGGAGGGCTCCGCCCGTCCCCGCCCACCGAAGCGATGATTTGTTGATTGAAGACGAACACGCCCACCTCATTAGAAGTACCCAATAAAATCTCATATTTCACACAGCATATTGTCGTCTAAATTAATATCTATCTATCTATCTATCTATCTATCTATCTATCTATCTATCTAT